ATCCGCTCGGCTTCTCAACGAGCTGCTGGCAGAGAACTGGGACGCGTCCTGCCGCGGGTTCCTTGTTTTCAAACCGTGGGTTAAAGCTCCGTCTCAGATCCTGGGGGGCACAGCCGGTTGCGGTAGTAGTGGAATCTGGTTTACAGCCCGAAACCCCGTTCAGACCGTCGCCAGCTGCTCTCCTCTCTGATTTCTCTGCCCGTTATCGCTTTCCGTCCCCTCTGGGGTGATGCTTTACCCCACGGGTCACGGAACCTCCTGGAAGCGAAGGGCTTTTGGGGTTTTGGACTTTTTTTGGCCTCAAGGCTGAGAACCGTCGCAGCTCTGTCCCATGTGCCCGTGCGAGCTGTTTAAACCCCATTTCTGGGATCCCGTGGTTGTGTCAGTAAATGCTGAATTGTTGTTTTTTTTCCCTCCCAGCAGGCACCCGTTCGGGCCGGGAGAGCGCAGAAGGAACCACGGCTCCCCTTCTTCCGGCGCGCGAGCTGCCCAATCCCCACCCGCGACCCCGCAGTGCGCTATGAGCAGAGGCGCTGGTCGAGGCAGAGGCTCGTGTCTCACCCGCTCCAGACTTAATTACCCCAGAGCTCGTCAAGGGTTTTTTATCCGCCCTCAAACCCCACGAGGAACTAATCAGGAAACGTTTTCACACCAGCAGCTCCTGACAGAGCGGGACGCTGACGTCTGTTTGCCTCAGAGATCGCACGAGAAATCACGTATCGGGGGCACGCGGGCGGCGGCACCAGCTCTGGCAGAGACACGGAAACCTGGCTGCGGCCGAGCGGGATGGTATAAACCCAGCAGCGGGCGCCCGTGGGGAGAAGCGTCGCCACGTTACTGTCCTCCTCGGTACGATCATCAGGAGAACTCGGAGAGAGATTCTGACACCATCAGGCTGAATTTACAGAGTCTGTCTCTTGCCGGACGAGACCGTGAGGAAGAAATTCTGACGATTTTCCGGCAGCTTGGGGAGGGGAAGACTTGTACAGTTCATGATCTTTCACGGAAGCTTAAAACCCAAAAGAAAGAGGTCAACCGCATTCTGTACAAACTCCTGCGAGAAGGGAAACTGCACAAAGGTGGGGAGACGCCGCCACTGTGGAGGATTGCCGGCCCGATCGCAGGGAGAGAAAGGAGCCCCGCGGCGCGCGGCGGCGGTCGCACGTATCCGGCGTGTGAGAGCAGAGGAGAGGAGAGGAGTGCGGCTGGCTTGGGAGACACCGATCCCACGATGGCTGAGACGAAGGACAAAATCTGCAACTATTTATTCAGCGTGGAAGAAACGACGGCGCTCAACCTCGCCAAAAACATCGGGTTTTCGAGGGCCAAGGACGTGAACGCCTTCCTGAGCGCACTGGAGAAGCTGGGAGATGTCCGCAAGCAGAACACGAGCCCCCCGCGGTGGTCCCTGACTGACCGGAAACGCGAGCGGATGCAGATGAGGCTGAAGGCCAGCGCGGTAATGCAGACAGCGGATCCCATGCCGCAGTCGGGTTGTCCCCCTTCCTCTGTCCCTCCCTGTCCCCAGGAGGTGACGGTGGCTTCACCAGCAGCGACGGCGTCGGAGGAGGAGAGCGTTGAGAATGGACATCAGCCCATGGGGCCGGCGGATCGGAGCGATGGCAATGACGCCAACGCCGCCCCACCACAGGACATCAAGCCCGAATTTCCCAGTCTGAGCCACTACGACAGCACTGAGAACGGGTGGTGGGCCACGGATGATATCCCGGATAACCTCAATGCCATCCATGCGCAGCCCGACGAGCCAGAGCCCTTCCTGGGCTCCCAGTCCTCCCCCAGTTTCGCCGCGCAGCTGGAAGGCGCTCTGCCCTGTACGCCCATGGAGAAGCTGCTGGCGTGTCAGGAGAAGAACCCCGTCAGCGGCCTGACCGAGTACTCCCAGTACACCTCCCAGCACTGCGAGTTCACCCTGCTGGAGCAGAGCGGGCCCTCGCACGAGCCGCGGTGAGAAACCTTCCTGCCTTCCCTGGGCTGGAGTTTTGCTTCAAACAGTCTGATTTCACCCAGCTTGAGCCACTCACCTTCGTCCTGAAGGGCTGGCTCATTAGCGGTTTCCTCCTTTCCGAGGGGTTAGCATCCTTGATTCCTTGCAGCAGCTGAAAAAACACCCAAAAATCCCAAACAAGGCTAAAATTTGACCCCAGGTAGCCCAGTTTTGGCAACCCTGCGCCTCATTCTGAGCAGGGAGGGAGGGAGTTGTCTCCTCAGCCAGCTCCCACCTGATTTAATCGCTTCCAGTTGGATTGTAGGGGCAGAACTGGGATTTCTGAGCTGCCTCCTGCCCTGGAGAGCCCAGAACAAAGCGCTGGGGTGCAGGTGCCGTGGGTCGGACACGGTGAAGCCGCTCTGGAGGTTTCTGGGTTGCAGGTGCTATGGGTTGGACGCGGTGAAGCCGCTCTGGAGGTTTCTGGGGTGCGGGTGCCATGGGTTGGACGCGGTGAAGCCGCTCTGGAGGTTTCTGGGGGGCAGGTGCCATGGGCTGGACGG